GGGGGAGCGTGGGTCTGTTTTGCTGCTAATGAGCCCTGCGGGGTTCCCGTGGCTGGAGCCCCGTCAGGGCTTTCGGGGACTGAAGAAACTGGTGTGAGCAGGGCAGGGACGAGCCTGGGAGCTGGGCCATCTCTCCGCTCTCTTGCTTCCTCACGCGCTCCCCTGCAGTACTCGAGAGCAGAAGGTGGAGGTGGCTGCAGTTCTGCTCACGCCTCTATTTCTAGTTTCTCCTTCCCTGTTTTAAATTCTTTCCTCACCTTCAGCATGCCCTGGCTGCTGCTGCTGCTGCTTTTATAGTGTATATTGTCAGCCAGGAGAGCTCCGTTCACCTCAGCGGGCTCTTTCCTGGGCACCTGAGCACGTTACGGTCCCCACTGCCTGCTGGCCGGCGGTGCGGCTCGCTGGGGGGGCAATCACCCGCGAAAAACTGGAAGCCCTGTGCTGGGGGGCCGCTGCCCACATCCCTGCAAGTTTGTTAGAGGCTACTTCAGGTGTAGCCCCTGTTGTGACTGCTGTGTAGAGACATCCAGGTGTAAGAACCAGCAATGAGCTTTGGCTGGCCACTGCGTTTCTGGTTCCTAAAAGCTGTTGTGGTACAGTGTTACCGTGAGAGAGCCTACAATAATCTGCCGATAATACTGCACAACCTCAGTGAGCGAGAGCGATTTAACTGCGCTGTTGCAGAGCCAATTGTAAATAGAGCTGATGATACAAAGCAAAGCCGCTCGGTTTGGAAGAGAAGGGAGCCCTGTGACCAGGAAGGTTTTTGCTCTTCTCCTCTTGGTAAAGAGGAACACAATAAACTTAATTTGCCTGTGTATCTCTGCAGCTTCTGCTCACCGCAGCTTTTATTTTATCTTCACTAGTGGCCTGGGATGATGTATTGGCTCTGAATACGCTTAGTTATCCCGTTAGCATGTACAGCAGTGTAAAGTGAGCCCGGCTCAGCACCCTGTAAAAAAGGTGTACAGTTCGAATTTTGGACCTTTTTTTTTTTTCTATCCCAAGAAACTTGTGTGAGCATCGGCAAGGCTGGCCAAGGCCGAACGGGCAGGTTAACCCTCTGGTTCACATTTCTGTTGCAGGCTGCTAAAATATCCTTCTTCAGAAATATAGTGTATCTTAAAATAAACAGATTCCTCCCCACAATGACACTGCATTGGTGACACTTTTTATTGGCAGCCCGTGCCTGCATCCGCTGCAGAGTGTCGGGGTTTGCAGCGTTCGATTAAAATGCGCGTCCTGCTGATGAGCGTAGCTGGAATCGGGTTTACAAGTCCAAGTTTAGAAGTCCCCTCACTCGGCCTTACCGGTCTCGGTCCTGCTGCGGCGGTGGCAGCAGGTTTGCGCCCTGGCTTGCTCTCCCTCGCCAGGACAAGCTCTGCTGCCTGTTGTCGCAGGGGCGGGGGAGAGGTGGCTCAGGCTTCGCTGCCGCTGCGCTTTGACAGGCGTTTTCACAGCTGCCCCGAGAGCTTGTCCTGACGAAAGCTTACCTGTGAGATGATGGCTGTATCTGTGTCAGGGCTAATTAAGTGTGTTTCCCTGAAACTGTGTCACCTGCCTCCCGTCCCGCCGCGTGGCCCAAAGCCCGAACGCGCCGGCTGCGCACACCCGTCACCCCAGCGGGGGTTCGACCATCTCACGGGCGCCTTCTCCGGGCGCCGGACCCCTTCGACGCACACCTTCCCACGGATGCAGCACGACGTCCCCCCTCCGAAACCCCGCTGCCACCAAGAACCCCGCTGCCACCAAGAACACCAGCCGGCTCGGGATGGTCGGGGAAGGGAGGGGGTGGGAGAGAAGCACCGTCACTGCGCGGGGGCTTGAGAGGTCCCCGCTGCAGGGACGGGAGTGAGTGTGTCCCGACACCTCCTGGGAACAGAGGGTCGGTTCCCGAAAGCGACTGAGAGCCCGAACGCCGCTGACCCGCAGTCAGGGCAAAATCCTCCCCTTCAGCAAACCTCAAACCTCGTTAGCACAAGGCTCCATTAAGTAAACAACGCACGTGCTGCGGGAACAAGTCTCCGGGGCAAAAATAAACAGAAATTGAAAACAAAATGAAAAAAACACCAGTTGAGGCAGTTTAATTGAGATTTTGATGCTCATTCCCAACCCTCCCACCAGTGAAGCTGGTTTTGCTCCTGGCAGGGCCGACGGCAGGTTCGGGTGAGGGGCATCATCCATCCCCCGTCATCCATCCCTGGCGAAAGTCAAGGCCAAAGGCAGGAAAAGCCCCAAAACCCAGGAGCAAGGGGCTGCCTGAGCCCCAGGTGCTGGTGACAAAAGTCCTGGTTACCGATGCTTGGCCCAGGACAGCCGCGTGTATCACAGCCCTCGCTATTTTATTTCAGCTTCTAAAAATGAGCCCGAGCTGGGGGTTATTCCTTCAGCTGACCGAGGAGAGACGAGAAAAAAGCTTCGTTTTGTTTTGTCAATGGCAGGTTCCCCCCAGCCTGTCTCGGAGCGCTGGGAGC